GTGGAATGCAGCGCGCAAAGCGGCGATGGGGACCGCCACCCGTCACGCACAGCCCGACACGGCGGAAGGTGGAGGACAGAGTGCAGAGTTGGCACGTGCAATGTTAGAGGAGGCATGAGAGATAAGACGAATGAGTTGATCGAAATAATGAAAGAAAGAGAATTAGATGTCGTGTGTATGTCGGAGACCAAACGGAAGGGCAGTGGTACTGAAGAGCTCCCTGGCGGGGCGTTAGCTCTATGGTCTGGAGTCCCGGAGAGCGAGAACGCCTGCCAGGGAGTGGGGGTGCTGCTGTCTTCTCGGTTGGTCGATGTTATGACTGAATATAAGTTTGTGAACTCAAGACTTCTCTGGGTTCGCTTTAAATTGGGACTGACGAAGTTATTCCTTTTGGCTGTTTATGCGCCGGTAGCTTCGTCGTCCAGGGCTGAGCTGGAGGAGTTTTGGGAGAATGTAAGAGAAGTTCTAGATTTGGCTAGGAGAAACGAAAGAATTGTTGTATGTGGTGATATGAATGGATGGGTTGGTACCGCTCGACCAGGGTACGAGTCGGTACTAGGAAAGTTTGGCGATAAAAGGGTTAATGATGCTGGCAAGCTTATACTGGCGGTGTGCAAGGAAAAGGGTCTTCTTGTGACAAACATTATGTTTAGTCACAAGAAAATCCATATGTATACCAGAGAACGAAAGAATGAGAGAAGTATGATCGATTTGTTCCTGGTGGATGACCGACTGCGAAAACAGGTGATGGATACGCGAGTGTTCAGGGGTGCTGACCTGGGAACGGATCACTATCTAGTGATAACTAGATTTAGGGGTCTGTTCGCAGGTTGGCGCTACCGGACGGCAGTAACAGAACCACAGTCGTTCTATCGCATCCGAAGCTGGAAGCTTCAGGAAGCGGATACTAGGGACAAATATCATGCGAGGGTAGCCGAAAAGCTTGACACCATCGATGGCAGAAAAGAATGTGTAAAAAGAACATGGCAGAACCTTAGGGATGGAATGGTACGTGCAGCGGAAGAAGTGTGTGGAACAATAAAAAGGGGCAGTAGTAAAAGAAGAGATGCATGGTGGAATGATGAAGTGAAAGAAGCTGTAAAGAAGAAGAAGAAAGCATGGTTAGACTACTTGGCCTCTAGTAATGATAAGGATATGAGAGAGAAGATGAAAGAAAGATATAGGCTGCAGAAAGTTCACACGAAAGCACTGATTGAGGAAGTGCGTGAAAGGTGTAGAATGGAAGCGGACGAAAGGTTGTCGCACAACTTTAAGGAGAACTCCAAACTCTTCTGGAAAGAGGTTGGAAGGACCCGAAGTGGTGCGACGGCCTTAAGAATGAACAAAGTGCTTTCGAGAACTAATGACGTCCTCTCAGAAAAATCGGACGTCATTCAGCGATGGAGCGAATTTTATAGAGAAATGTATGCGTGTGATGATCTTAGTGGGGGATCCGGGGATGACGCCGTGACTGGTACGCCAGACCCGGACCTCGATGACACTGAGGTCATCAGTATGAAAGAGATTGAACGTGCGATTCGAAGTTTGAAATGTGGTAAGGCTGCGGGACTAGACAGAGTTACTGCTGAAATGGTCAAGTATGGTGGGCCTCGCGTCTGGGACGGCTTCCATCTGCTGTGCAATTTATGCTGGCGGACGGGGGATGTCCCGGATGATTGGCGATCCGCAGTCATTGTGCCTTTATATAAAGGTAAAGGTTCACATTTTGACTGCGGGTGCTATCGGGCGATCAGCTTGACCAGTTTAGCAAGTAAAGTTTACTCGAAGGTTTTGACACGTAGGATGCAAGAGAAATCGGAAAGATTTCTATGGGAGGCACAATGCGGATTTAGACCTGGAAGAGGATGCACGGATCAAATGTTTTCTCTCCGCATGATCACGGAGAAGCTTCTGGCTGCTAACTAGAAGATTTTCTGTGCTTTTGTGGATCTTGAGAAAGCATTTGATAAGGTTGTAAGGAAGAAAATGTGGGAACTGTTGCCGGGGTATGGTGTGGATGGTCGATTGCTAAGGGCTGTGCAGTCTCTTTACTGTGACTGTAAAGCCTGTATGCGGGTAGGGCATGACCTGTCACCCATGTTTAACGTCCAAACGGGCGTAAAGCAGGGTTGTGTCATGTCTTCCTGGCTGTTCATACTGTATCTCGACAGCTGTTTACAGAAGCTGAAAGATAGCTGTTTGGGTGTTCTGGTTGGGTGACATTAAAGTAAATTGTCTGCTGTATGCTGATGATGCAGTGCTTATTGCACCATCAGAGGCAGAACTGCAGGCATTAGTCACGTGTATGAAAGAGGAATGTGAAATTAAAGGTCTCCGTTTGAATGCTAATAAAACTAAGGTTCTGGTATTTGAAAGGGACGAAGAGAGAACGAAGTGTGAAATATGGGTAAATCAGGAATGTCTAGAACAGGTAAATGAAATTGTATACTTGGGGAGTGCTTTTAGCCGGGATGGAAGATGTGATTTAGATGTGGACAGGTGTGTCGCTGCCGGGAACAAAGTCGATGGTGCCCTGACTGCGTTAGTCAAAAGGCAAGGCGTAGCGAAGAGTGCACGCCTTGCAATTCATAACGCAGTGTTGGTACCGACTTTGTTATATGCAGCGAAACCTGGGTATGCCAGAAGAAGCATAAAAGTAAGTTGAATGCAGTGAAGATGCGATCTCTTCGTAAAATCTGCGGCGTTACTATGGCCGACCGAAAGCGAAACGAAGAGATTCGCAATATGGCAGGTTTGAAAGATGACCTTATCACAAAAATTGATAAGGGCGTGCTTCGGTGGTTTGGGCACGTTGAGCGAATGAGTGAAGACCGAATGGTGAAGAAAATATATAGCGCGAAAGTTAATATTAAAAGGTGTCGAGGTAGACCGAGACTAACTTTCGAAGACCATGTGAGCAAATTGCTCGAAGAGGGTAGGGTCAAGAGTACTCGGATACCTAGACGTGCATGCATGAAGAAGATAATGAATCTGAAAGAAGCGAAAGAGGTTTGTAAGGATCGTGACACTTGGCGATCTGTACTCTGGCTACCCCGTCAGGGATTGTGCGTGAAGATAAGTAAGTAAGTAATATTAAAAAAAGTAAATTAATAGCCAACGCATGATTAACAAAAAACACGCTGAAGGTCTGCTTCGGACCGAATTCGCGTTACAGGCTTTCCATCTTCCTTTCTCAGAAAAATATGTCCACCCTTCGTCCAAGTATAACGCCATTTTGCTTTTTTCGCTGCCTCGCGAGTCTTACCCAACAACTTCCTATTCAAAGGTGTTAACCGCTCATTCACGTAAAACCGACGCGGCTCGCCGGGTAACCCCAGTGACTCAGTGGTTACTGTCCGTCGAACACGCGCGGATCGTAAAAATTCATCTCGCAGTGCTCGCCGGCTCATCCGCACCATAATTCTACGTGGTCCCAAACGAACTTCTTCTTGAGAGCTATTAATGTCGTCAATAGATTTGCGTAATATTCCGACACGCTCGGCATGGACAATTTCACGGTGGTCAATATCAAGGCCTAACTTTCTAGCGCATAGTATCACAGTGTTAATGGCTACTTCACCCTTTTGTTCCGGTAGACCTAAGATTTCCAAGTCATTGGCTAACAGGTCCTGATCCCTCTCGCCTAATCGGATCTTTAATTCAGCTATTGTATTCTCAAGACCCATGGACTTACATTTGTGGTCACGTTCTTCCATTCGGTTCTCCAACTTGGTGACCCTAGAGTCAATTTCTTCCAAATTTTTATTACACACGAGCATTGTATCCCTTAACATGGCGACATTGTCCCTGATCTCCTTTTTTTTTTTATAGGATAAGGGTGACAAACGAGCACACAGTCCACCTGATGGTAAGTGGTTGCTGTGGCCCATAGACATCTACATCTATCCTCTATTACAAATCAATATGTAGATGCGTTGTCACCCTTGAGGACTAAGATGGAATGCCTCATTTCCAGTAAAAAGGGCCTCCGGCCACCTGCACTCACCAAGCGAAACGCAGAGGTAAACCTCTACTTCACGCTGGTTTTCTGTGAGGTCGTGGTACCACCCCGGTTCGAGCCGGCCCATCCGTGCGACAGCAAAAGCTGCCGCGTGGCTCTACCACTGTTAAAATTCCTTTTCCTTCAGCATTCGCATTGCACTGAGCTCATTACGAAACAGGCGTATTTCTAGGCCTATGTCAATGTCTTTTTGGACGGGACTACTATCTCCGACATCCTGACACTTTACCGGTGTATTAGAATTGTCCCCAGCACGAGGAACTTTACTCTTACAAGCTGGGCACATCCAGGAAGTTGATATCTTTACCTTTTCAGATAAGTTAAGGCAGCCTCGATGATATGTGGCATCACATTTGCCACAGGTAACGCCATCTGTCGCCGATAGGTAGCGGCCGCATGCTCCACACTTTGCCATATTATTGATATCAATAAAGAATATTAATCTATAAAACTAGTGGCCACCAGATGGCACAGAAGGGATTATATCAATTGATATCAATATACTAAAAGTTAAAACTTAGTTTTTATAAGTAAATTAATAATATTCCACTTCGTTAGATACAGTGGTAATTAAATGTTTTTCAAATTATAATAATATATGGAATAAGTTTGTAAGTTCGGACAAATTAATATCTTTGTTACACAAAAACAGGGTACTTTTACACTGATTCTTTCCTTATTTACACTTTTACCATTGATTACTTTTAAATTACACCACACCCATAGATAAATATATATGTAGCAAGCTACAGATACGACAGTTACTTTTGGTTACTTTTAGTCAAGTTTCCCAACTATGCGTTTTGGCGCTGCAGTCGCCCATTTTGACAGATGAGTAATAAAAAAAATATAGCTTAGAGATTGCAAGCACACATCCTTCAAATCATCGATATCGATGTTTAGTGGTGTTCTTATTTTATCGATATCGACAGAAGTGCATTATACAGGAATAATAATATTACTTAATGAAACACTTATAATACATTAACATTTATTTTTTATTCAAGCACACCTACATCATATACATACGTAATTTTAGGATTAAATTAAAGGCACATTAAGTTATATAAACAAATTAGAAAATCGTACATAACATTGTGCATAAATAAGTACAATTTGACGAGAAACAGAGCAATATTTATAGTTCATTAAATAAAGCAAATTAAACCACATGAATCATATTTAAGTGCTTAATATTTTACTTTTCAAGTTACTTTTTTGGCCTGGCCATTTTTTTTACAAAATTATTTTAATTGTATTAATAAGAAAGTTATTTGTTTAACATAAAATAAAGGTTTTCAAATAGTTCTCTACAGTTTTAAAATAGATTGGACATTAAGCAAGTCTTTGTGAGGATTGTTCACCCTTTTTTTTGCACACAAGTTACAACCTTTTTTTAAAATTTTAACATCTCTTCTTTTATTTCATTTTCTTCACCACGTAACCTGAAAAGAAATAAATAAAAATAAAGTCCAATATTCATATTTTATGACTGAATGATAATCATAAATCATATATTATTCATATTAAGGTAAAATAGGGCTTCATGGCAGTTGGCATTTTCTTTCGGTCAGCCATGGTGTGGTGAAAATAAAGTGATAGATGCAGTAAATAAGAAATAAAAAATATATAAATATTTACATTGTATACATCCATTATCAGGAGCTTTCTCAATGTCTTCAGGCACAGAGTTCCAAATTAGTGTAAACTTAATACTAAAGGAGTTGTTGATAAAACCATTGAAGTGTAGTGGAACTGTAATCTTTAGATTAGATGAAGAATAAAGAATTCTTATTGTGATTTGAGGATAGATATGCTGAATATAGATATAATAGATATGTTGAAATTTTGCCTAATTATGTATAAGAATAAACTGAATTTATCATACCATTTTGCCAATGTGTACATTTTGTATCTTCTGGCAACATTTGTCTCACCACATCAGCTTTTCACATCAGATTTCTATTCCTGAAAACAAACAATATTTGTGAATTTTATGCTCTTATACATAAACCCAAAATTAAAGAATAAATATATAATGTATACATCTATATTGTATGTATTAACTCTGTATGGCTACTGTTAACGACAGTTTAGTATAATCGTAATTAAAAAGTAATCTATATTATCATATAACTAAGTTATATGGTAACATAAATTACTTTTAAAAAGAACATTTATCTCCTTGGTGTTGGTACTTTCACTTGGAGGTTGTTCCGTGATAAGCATCTGAAAAATAAACAAATATCGACATCAACATTAAAAATAACAAGTATGCTCAAGATGCTAATAGCGTAATGTAGCATAAAATCGACTCCGCGCTATAGAAGCATATTCTAGGTTGCTACAGACCAGAGATTTTTAGGGAGTAACTTTATTTATTTATTTCTACCTCTGTCTTTACAGGCGTACCTAATACGACAGTGTAGGCATATAAAACTATCTAATTTAATAAGGACAGAACACAACTTATCTACTATTATAACATAATACATAATATAATGTCACTTAGGTAAATTCACCCAAGGAATAGCAGAATAAATCTACATCCTGAGCTACTTTATTTAGTGTGCAGCACTCGGGTCAGTGGGCCTCGTTTGGAAGGTACGTGCGCGCGGTGTCTCGAATGGTGGGGGCCGCTTCCGGCACCACACGTACCTGTCCGGCACACACAACATAGCTATTCGCAATATCGCCTCGTTATATACTTGGTTTGCGGGGACCTGAAACAGAGTTTACGTTTCAGGAATCCGAACATTCTATTTAACCACCGTCATCATTACAGCGCTTCACAAGTCCACTGCTAAACGTAGGCCTCCCCCAAGAAATGTCACAAAGCACGGTCCTAAGCCACCTGCATATCCAGGTCGTCACTTCATCAACATTTTATTTACTTAAACATTTTTTTCTTAACCTAAGACTTTTATACTTCTTTAAGGCCAATTTTTGGGGTTCACCCATTTTAGATACATATTTTTCATCAATATCACCCTTCAATATTTTATTGTTTATGTTGCACCAATTGTGTCCATGTAATCTAATTAAAATATTGGTGAAAAAGTTTTTTACAATTAAGGCATGCTTATCACACCCTAGGCAGGAAAAACTCAAAGTGCTCAATATTTTTCTTTTCAAATTACTTTTTATATTACTTCCAATACAGCTATAATTCAAATAGTTATGAATAAAGTGAGTACCATCCCTGTACAAGATAAGGAATTTTTCGTTAGGGTATGCCAAATTATTATTTTTTAACAATTTATACTCTCTAAATTTAATGTAAGAGTGAATGTTTGTCTCCGTACTGCTAATATATGTTTTGATGCAATCCTTACAACGAATCGCTCTCGTTATTTTCCGACAAATGTATCCAGCAGTGTAAGCTGAGCAGTGGACTTTGATTTTTTCCATGACTACATCATTCACCAGCAACTTTTCTCTTGAACTTGCTTGTGAAGAAGATGGGAGATCTCGCGAAATACTGACAGTGTTTTCCGAGTCATTTTCTTTATTATTATGAAGGTTTTTAAAAAGAAGACTAACATTTAATAATGTTTCTCCATTATCCTCTTCACAGTTAGAGAATTTGGAATGTGGACTAAGCATGTTAGATAACATCAAAGATTTAAAGGCATATATAAATGTGTTTGCATCTGGGTTAACATTTCTATAATTTATAGCTCTTATACGGCCAAAAAAATTTTCTAATGGGTCTTGATTAATATTCCTCGGATAATAATATTCTACATTATACTGTTCAAATAACAATTTGGAGACCCTTATAAAACTTTCAAGAGTTGTAATCCATCCTTGTAGGGATGGCACTCGCACAAGTCGAGGTTTTCCTGCTTTTGTAGCATGTTTGCTACTGGTGTCTACAAACACCATTTTTTTAATTTTATTAATGGCCTCAATCCAAAAAGTGTGATGTTGTGAATTTTGTTTAACCGCTCGTCTTAACTTTCCTCTTTGCACACCACCCGGGTAGCCATTGACGCTGTCAAACAGTGTGTCGAAGAATTCAACAACTTCTGCTGTTGTGGCCATTGTTGCGTCAGAGTTTGCAGTATGAAAATAATCTGAAAAGAAAAAAGTACTTTTTAATTTAATTTCTTTTACAGTTGTACCTGCAAATTTTTCGCCAAAAAGACACTTCTTATTTGGTTACAACAACAGACTTTTTTAACCATTTTTTTACAAATTGATTTTTTTACAAATTGAGACTTCTGGTCAAATTTTACAATAGTATATACATAAATTGAATACGCCTACAAATCAATATAGCAATCGTTACTTACTGAGTGCATTTGTATATTTGAGCATAGCAGCAGTTCGAGCACTAAATACTTGAGCAGCTACGCTGACCTTCATTTTTTTGATCTTTTGGCGATCAACATGATGAGCCGTTAACTTTGGTAGTGCCCTTGTGTGCCCCAATTTGCTATCCAAATCAAAAATGAACTCAATATCTTTCCAAGAGGCAGTTTTTTCTTCCCAAATTATATCTTTATTTAAAAAATTATTCCTTAAACCCTTTAAGAGATGAGGTGGGTCAAAAAATATGCTTAAATCGTGATCAGCAATATTAACCGATCCATCTGTAAAATAATTAAAATATATAATATTTGTCATGAAGTAGAACTAGTTTTTAAGTAATTAATAATGGTACACACCATCATGAACACCTTGAATATTCCGCCTACGAATTGTATCTTCCCTAAGTCTTCTTATTGCTGTTCGAAATGTGGACCCTTGGTCACAAACAAGACCTAAAGGTATTAACCCAGTTCGTATCACTTGGGGCACAATCTGTTTTAAAATGCATTGCAGCTCTGCTGCTGATACTGTGCCTTCACAGAAATAAAATGCTACACTCTGTCTCCATGGAGAGCATATTCCTCTTAGCATAAAAACTAAAGCATGATCACAATATTTCAGTTTTCTCTCTCCAGCTATATCTACAAACCCATTAATTATATCATCTTTTTCATTAAAAGTTAAATGTGGTGTTAGAGAGACTTCGTCAAAAACGATTGTACATAGCTTTTGTTTAGTGTCCCATTTTTTGGTTGTATTTGATATATGTTCAAATATTAATGGATTGAGTCCTGGTTGTATTGAAACCTTCTCAGAAAGTCTATTTAATGTCCGTTTACTAGGCAAGGCAAACATTTTTTCTAATAGTTTATAACTTTTGGGGCTTTGTTTCATTATGAGCAACGCCATTAATTTTTCATCTAAGGTAAACCTTCTGGCCATTTTGCTTTTATGAATTTGTTTTAATTGCATAAACAAGAAAGTCTGCGCTTGTTTGTTTAACAAATAAAAGTTTTCCAAAAGGTCTTTATTTCTTGATAGGGATTGGGCTTGATCAAGTCTTTGTGATACTGAGTCACTTAAAGTTTCAGTTGCAATATTAGTCAAAATTTTAACCAATTTTCTTTTCCTTGATACTATTTTCTTCACCGAACCTGAAGTGAAATAAATAAAATAATTAAGTTTTATATTCATATTTTATGACTGAATGATACACTTAAAAATATTAATTTATTATTTATATATTGTTATTTTAAACTTTTAATGTATTCACTTTGAAAAGATAACAAATAGTGTGGATGTCATCAGGGGAAGACTTCCAGAGAAATGTAACCTTAACAGTAAAGGAGTTGTTGATAAAACCATTGAAGTGTCGTGGAACTGTAATTTTGGGATTAGATGAAGAACAAAGAACTCTTATTGTGATTTGAGGTAGATATTGAAACTTTTTCTAATTATGTCTAAGAATAAACTGAATTTATAATACCTTTTTGCTTTTTTGTACATGTGCTACCTTTTGGCAACATTTGATTCACCACATTAACATTAGAATCAATTCCTGAAAAGAAGCAATAGTTATGAATGTTATGGTCTTAAACATAAACTCAATATTAAATAACAAATTTACAATGTATGCTTCTCTGTATTGTATGTCTACATTAAATCTAGCTACTGTTAATAAAAGTTAGTTTAGTATAAGCAGACAAACCTACGAGTTCTTCGAGAACATCTATCTCCATGCCTTTGGTACTTGCACTTGGAGGTTGCTCCAGGAATGTATCTGAAAAATAAACAAATATAATTGTTAGATACGATTTCATGCGACAAAACGTTGAAATCTTGATTTTTAGGCGCTAGTAGAACATACCTACGTGCTTTGCACTTAAGGCATGCAATATTATCCTAGTGTCTAGTATCAAATACACATAACTATCCTCTAGAACTGATGCAGTTCTAGGTATGCAGTGACACCTTCAGTCCACAGCCTGTTTATAAGCATTTAAAGTATTTTTTCTATTACCCGACATATAAGTACTTCTTTTGATTTGATCCCTACATAAATGTATAAAAAATTATGTCCAATACAATTTCACATACCTTTATTTTCTACAACTGTTGCAACAGTTGAAAAATTTGAACATGAAGGCTGTTCATGAGAATTTCCAACATCTGAAATTTGTTACAATTTTGCATTTTTATAGATGTCAGTATGATAAGGCAAACACATTATTAGAAAATGAACGGTTAGTAAATTTATGAAATAGTTAGAAAGCTTTTTTTGCTACTTAGTAACTAGTACTACATGAATATTAGTACACACCTGATGATCCAATCTCTACCGATGATTTGGAACAATCATTTTGCTCTTTGCAGTAATTGTGTTCAATCGTAACATCACTTCCTGAAAACATTATTCAAAATGTTGAAAAATTTGCCACTGACTGAAATTTAAATACATCAAATCACAGTGTTCATCATAATATGTTTACTATAATTTACAATTAACATCAATTAAGATATTTGTACATACCAGGCTTTCTAATCACTACCACAGCTTCTGTGAAATCATCGTCATCTTGCACTTTACAATAATTATGTTCAGTTGTGACATCCCATCCTGAAAACATTACATAATCATAGCAAATAACGATGCAGAGTCAATAACATTTGTACCTAACTAATCATAAAGTCAAAGAGTAAAAAGAGAGTCCTTAGTTAGCCAACCTACAAAATGCTTATTCTGGAAAAAAATTACCCACATGCAATGTTTGGAAATTTGTAATAAATTGCTGCTTTTTCGATATTGTGATATTTTTATAGAATAGAATGATTTTTATTCAACATTGTTTATTACATAATATCTATAATATAATAATCGATTCTCGATTAAATTGAGCATTTTAATATCTATTTTTGATTATTTTTCTGTGTTAACTAGGGAGATAAAAAATAATTGCATACTTGTCTACAAAACAATAGTCAATCCTCTATCTACGAAACAATAATAAAAAATACAAAATATCAACATTCCAACAAGTAACAGCTACAACAATAATTCAAGTAATCGATCTCAGATAGATTAGTGATGCGTTAACTCGAGTTGAATCTTCCTAACTTGAGTTTGGGTTGCTGTACATGAACGGATCAAGTGAGCTAGCAAAAGAGTAAAAGTGCAATTTGTTTGTTGTGTGCGCGCTTTGCGTTTCAAAGAGTATTTAGCTACAACCAAAACAATTTGTTATTTAGAATTTTATTATAGCTAGTTGTGTAATTTAATTCCCTATATAATTTTGATTAATTATGATCAATATAGTATCATCATACTTTAAATTAACGCCAAATGTAACACTTAACTCACAATAAATATATTGAATTTATTTAAGAATATTTTGACTTTAAACTTCAACCTTTTGTAATTAAACTAGTAATAGCTTATGTACCTACATCTTAAAGCTAGACTAATACATAAGTATATGATACATACTAAATATACCTTTTCATATCAATCCTACATAATAAGTTTTAATAGATATAAAAAAGGAAATTATAATTATCTCAACCCATCAAAGAGCTAGATAGAAAAACAAATTTATAAAAAAGTAATTTGTAACAAATCATTTACTCTGATTCGTACTGCTAACTCAAGTTGCGTGAATTTCAACTCGAGTTAAATCAAGTCAAAATTTTCTAAGTTGGCACATCTATAAGATCAGAATCCCTAATATTCACTTCACTTAGTTGTTGTTGTTTTAACTTTCATTAATCGTTTGACCATTTCGTTTCATTATTAACCACAGCTTTTTGGTGATTTTTTAATGATCTTGCTTTTAAATATTGAAGTAATTATAGCGAAAAATAGCCTGTTACTGTGTAATAATAGTGAAAAATCACCTGTTACAGTGTAGCCAATAGATAATCTCACTTTTACTTATTCTACAATAACTTCCTTACAATAAGTTCTTAGATTGACAAATCTTGCCAGATTTTCAGCTATGAATTGTTTATATATACGCTTTATTATACGTACTTTCATCTTGTTAACACTTGGGCCCAAGAATGTATAGAGACGTCTTAAGTACCATGATTGAAAGTAATAAAATAACTCACCTGTTACAATTAGAGGCACACCATGAGCTATTTCATTGTCAGTAAGCAAGGACGGGTAGGAGTATCGAAGTCTTCTGCCTTCATTGTCGAACTGAAATATATCAAAATGTTTTTCACAGACGTGTTTGTTAAGTAACTGTTCTTTGGAAAGTGCAATGAGCTGGGGATTTGTCGGCACTATGAAAGACATCCATAAATTTCTTAAATTATCGTTCCTAGGGAAACTGAAAAGCCGGTGCGTTTCATGTGTTGTATTGCAACCACCAACACAACACTTTTTGTATACCATTATGTTGGTATATGCAATATTCACACGAGCAGCACAAAAACAGAATATTGTAATAACTTAGGAAAATTCGGTTATGGCGGCAATCAATCAATATCGATAACTTTGACTTTTGACAATATGATTTGACATTAACACAATATGGCGTGTCAACATGCTCAAAATGGCGTCCGTAGGCAGAGAACAAATTTGCGACGGTAGCGCCAAGTTGCATAAATTGGAACTAAGCTGTCACGGGCCTGACCACACCTATATTCAGTATCTCCAATCTTTGTTATATTAAGCACATATATCACTTTTGTAGCTTTAATAGTTAAATAAATTCAATTAAACTCGATTACTTTAAGAGCACAGTACTACTCGCTGTCAATTCAACTACCTTCCTCTCGAATACTCACACATAGCGTTTTTTTTTTTGAGGTTCTATTTGACTTTTTTCTATTGCGTAGACTTTCTTACTTATAATCTGTTTAAATTGCAGATTCTTAAGGTTTTTAATAATTACCCAGATTTCCCGAACTTCTCTTGGGAGTACCTCCTTGAGGAAAATTTTAAAATACTTAAATTTCAAATACGCCACAAAATCAAGAAAAAGCGTGCTAATAGATAGACGCGATATTGTTTTGTGGCGCCAGCGATACCTTCAAATAATTAAAGATTATCGCAGAGAAGAAAGGTACATTTATTACCAAGATGAAACCTGGATCAACGAAGGTAATTAAAATTTTCTCTGTTTTATTTGTCTATTACAGTGTATGTATTGCATGCCACCGGTGAATTTAATGAGTAATTGGTATTTTTCATTTTCTAAACAAGGAAAAAGAAGATTACCATCAAGAGATGAATGCTGAGTGTTTTGAGGAGTGGTAGTAGTGTAGTTGTACCACTTCTAGACCACCTGAGTCAGACGTGGTTCAACGACGTTCGTCGACATCCGATCCTAAAAAAAAAAAAAAAAAAGGTTTTGGCATGCTCTGATCACGAATCCGCGGTCCATTTTTGTGTAGAATGCACGGTTCCGGAGATGTGTAGATCAATTAGCTAATATCTAATTGATATCCGGTAAGGGCCTCCACCGTCATTAGCGTCCCATTATTCCTATTTCTATTGTTCTATTGTTCATTAATCACCTTCATTGCAGCGTGTGCGTCGACTATATCAGTGCTATTGTATTGTACTTCTTTGTTCCTAATTATACAACGCTAATCTGAATCATCAATAAAACACATTACATAATTTTGTTACAATTTTTATTTATAAAATACAAAATCTTATTACTTATTATCTATAAAATAGGAGCGAAACATCTCATCCACTAAAATATCGTTGTACAATGTGTTCCTTGTAAATATACTCGTAAAACTATGTATTGAACATCCTTGAAACTTATATAGCAAATACATTAAGCAATATTCGCCACAAACTGAAGTCCACTCATTCTGAATCCTATCAACATTCCAGTTCCATCTTTTACAATTCCTTTTTAAAAACTCTAGATGATATCGTACAGGTGATCGTCCATATGAATCAAAATATTGACCGACGTCATTCGTATCGATATATAAAGCTACCCAATGTGACCCTGGTTTATCATCTGTATCCAAATTGCATATTATATACGTTGGTACGTGGGTATACATAGGCAGTCTATTAGCTGCATAAACATTATTTTCTAGACTGGGGTGAATCTTTTTCAGATGTTGTTGTACATCTAGTGTATCCATGATATTACTGCTATTAGTAGATTATTACAGTACCAATCTACTCAATGAATAACATAGGAATGGTCAATTATAGTGATTTCTAAATATTAAATTGCATTTTTGTGTTATACAAATCGTACTTGAGTCATTGATCACCAAACAAAACACAATACGAAGAAATGTTGAGATAGGCAACGGAAATGTGAGATAAAATGATATGTTTCTAAATATTAAATTGCATTTTTGTGTTATACAAATCGTACTTGAGTCATTGATCACCAAACAAAACACAATACGAAGAAATGTTGAGATAGACAACGGAAATGTGAGATAAACTGGTTGACGCATAAAGTAATTATCAACTCATTACGGAAATACTTTAGATTAGAATTTTTACGTACTGGTGGTATATAAGACCAACAGACGCAGTCATCGAGTTAGTGTACGGTCGTTTGACTACAGTGGATCTATCAATAGTACATTTGTGTTACTTCAATACACCAAAGGCTATGGATGTAAGTGTTTATTCTATTGACTAAATTACTTTTTTTCTGTTATTTTCATGTGTGTGTATTATTTTATTTAAATATTGTGTATGTATATGATTAAGCCGTGGTAACTCAGATGGTTAGCGCTAGCTGTAAATTTCACAGTACGCGACCCGGGTTCGATCCCCGCCAGCACCAATTAAATTGTTAATCGCAATTTTAAGTGCTTATTACCACGTGCTTGGTGGTGAAGGAAAACATCGTGAGGAAACCTGCATGTCTGAGAAAATTTCGAAGGCATGTGAAGTTTAGACGTGGTAGAGCCATGCTGCAGCTATATTATGGTTGTAGCACGAATGGGTCGGCTCGACCGGGGAAGGACCACGCTCTCACAGAATACCAGCGTAAAATAGTAGCTTAACGCTGCTGTGTTTCGTATGGTGAGTGTAGAGAACCGGTGACCCTTTTTACTGGAAACGAGGCATTCCATCTTAGTCCTCATGGGTGACAACGCATCTGCATTTTGATTCTTAATCGAAGATAGATGTAGATGTCTATGGGCCACAGCATCCACTTACCATCAGGTGGACTGTGTACTCGTTTGTCACCCTTATCCTATAAAAAAAAAAAAAAAAAAAAAAAAAAAGTTCGCCAACACACATTGAGCGAGCGCGGCGGACATTTCCTTGCTCTAAAACCCTCTCAGAAATGAGAGGAGGCCTATGTTCAGCAGTGGACTTTAATAGGCTGTAACTTTAACTTTTTTAACTTTTATGATTAAGTGTTAACAAATTGATATTAACATGATAACTGTGTTGTTGCAGAAATCATTGAGCTTCGATGAAGATACCTATAAACAGTATTACTACTCGCCACTCTCCCCTCAAGAAGAGAGTGATAACCTCGTCTTTAATAATAACACATGCGATGGTGGAAAAAGAAAATCGCAATCGATTGATCATTTTTTTGAAGCTGAATCAAAAATAAAAAAGAGGAAGGGAAAACTTCAGTGAAGTGTGCACCAGTGCTTTTTTCTCCACAATCATGGAAGAGAATACGGAACTATTCAATAGCGAATTAAATCAGGAGTTGTCTAAAGTTTGTGAAGAAATGGAGAGGGGTCAACTGTTCGATTCGTCATACGATGATGAGTTGTATCATCACTGTGCGATGGTTGAAACACAGTTTAAGTATGTAAAATAAACATTCATTTCGATCATAATTTACATATTGTCTTATACAGTTTTTAATAAATTTAAACATTTTAGCAGTCAACCACTACAACTTGGAAGAGGAACGAAGCGAACGTGCAGCAAAGAATCCAAGATCATCAAAAAACCAACAACGGAAGCAGAAGCGCATACCTCTGCAGGGAACGGTATCAGTAACGATGA